CTGTGGATTGACCTGAATAAAGCTTAAATACTCACCAGCCAGCCTGACTGAGAGTGAGCTATCACTCTGAAAAAAATATATAACGTTCCTTGTGAGTTGTGCAGCTGAGTGGTTCTATATTTGGAGACACAATCGACATCCAGTTGTTATGTTTGGTCTGATTTGTTCAGATGTTTTTCATTTCTTCAAATTTTAGTCATTTGTCTCAATATGATTTACCAAGTTGTAAAAATATGACTTCCTGTTGTCTTGCCGTGTTTTCCACAAGACACCATTTTTCATTATTCGTTTTCTTTTGGTAACATGTCACATATTTTTCTAACATGTTCAAGTAGCCAGTTTAATAACAATATTACATAAAAAGAATTGAAAATATTTTTCTGTCTGGAACAATATGTGTCAGAGAATCTTCTGTTGACTCTGCTACAATGATGTATTTTCCTTTAAATCAGTGCCATTACCTGCCACAGCAAAGTAAACTGCTTTAAAAATGATGTCACTTCCTCTTATTGAGAAGAGCTCAAGCAACTATTGTGAAAACAGTAATTTCACTGGAGCCATGAGCTGTTAGCATGTAAGATAGCAGTTGGAGTTAATCACAAAAAATGCTTGAAATTGTCAATTTTGTTACCGTCAAACTTAATCATCAGTGTTGAGTACCCACTTTAAAAGCTAATAATCACTATGCCATATAATCAATCCAGTAAAGATAATATGAGCAGTAAAAGCTGAGGGAATTATGTTGTTTCCTGAGAGGTATTGTACTTCATCAAGTACAACACTTGAATGATATTTCACACTTTGTTAGATTCTAATGTAACTTTTATCCTTTTTAAGGAACACAGCAGATCTACTACATTGTTTCTGTTTTATGGTAAAGGCATGTGAAAGAATTTATTTAATAAGCTAATGCTTTAAAATAAAAATTAACCCTTTAATGTTCATTATTTTACTTTAGGGGTCAACTCTAGTAATCTAGTAAATAAAAAGAAAAAAAATTGTCTTTAGCATCACAATGCTGATTGACTTTTTCTGTATTATAGTAGACACACTTTTGTTCTGAAAAATGTCTGTCTTCAATGAGTTTCAGTGACAAATGTTTACAACTATGCAACCAATCTAATTGATAATTGGGTGTTTTTAGTGTATTTTTAACGGCTCTAACAGGTCGTGTTTGTGGACTGTGGGAGGAAGCTGGAGGAACAGGAGAGAAGTCTTTGTTTCTGCATCGAGTTTGCATTCAAATCCAGACCTCTGGCCAAGATTTGGATCTTCTTGCTGTAAGGCAACAGTCCTACCAAGTGCTGCACTGTGGTGTAAGGACATTACAAATACATCTTTCCTTAAAACAAAAAGTAAGCGAAATTAACTGCTAATGCTTTGTCAAAGTTTAATGTGTTTTCAGTGAAATTCCTAGAAGAATCGATGGGAAACGATCTGTCGTCTTTCCTTCCTAATGCTTTCAAAATGCCAAATTTACCTTGAAACAGAATTGGCTGTTTTTCTAGAATGGGGCGTTCTGTTTTTGTTGCTCTCCTTGTTATTCAAATACTTTGCTTTCAGTCTGAGATTTTTAACCACAAAAGTTGAGTGTACAATTCATAATCCCAGTACTGAGGCCTCCTTTGTTAAAGCTTAGAGTTTAAGCGCTATTAATTTTCTGATGCATGTGATGCAAGTTTCAGATAGTTTCAGTCTTATATTTTGTTTGTTTCTCACTTTTTCTTCAATAGGCCAGTGGAATTACATCTAACAAGTATAATCTCAGTAAGACGCCAGTTGTTATCTTCATTCTTGCTGTTACGTTATCTGCAATTGAATCTAAAAAAAACCCCAGGAATAAATAAGAAAGACGAACAATACTTTTTGATTTTATGGTGTTTTTTATTGGATTTTTAAATTTTCTTTGACTTCATTGCAAAAAAGAAAAACAAATTAACACCAACAATAAATAATACATTCAACAATAAAAATAATCCAGATTCAGAGTAAACATTCAAGTGTACTTAGCCTTTATAAAAACCTACAGTAAAATGTAAACAGCCTTCTCTCCTCTAACATCGCGCCTCCTGAGCCGTGTGAGTCTCTGGCAGCTGTCCAAAAGGCAAAACGTCAACAAAGCAACAACTTGCGCATCGGCGCGCGCGAGTCTCACAAGGTATGAAGCCACGTCACAGATTAGGCTCTGACTGACAGAACAAGCTAACATTCTCATACGTCTTGTTGGCAGTGGGGTTTTTTTTTCTTGTGAAAAAAAAAAGCAGACTCGGTTGTCCGGTCAGTGTCCTTTTGAAACGGTGCTGCGTTTGAGCGCGCGAGGCAGCAGCATCAGCAGCAACTGCATCGGCGGCGCCTTCAAAGCTCCGCTCCACGTCCGAGCGCCAGGCTCCTTCTTCTTTAAAAATATATTTTTTGTATGTTTGTTTGCGCCTCGTGCTCTCTCCCCCTTAGCTTATCACGCACCTCTCTTTGTCCTTGCCGTGGCCGCCTCCGATGGCCTTTTCCTTAATGTACATGAGGTCGCTGTGGACGCTCGGCCTCCGCGCGCACGGAGTCACCACGCCGTACGCCTCCCCGATGTCCTTCATCTTCTTGTGCTTGAGCGACTTCCTGTGCAGCATGTCGCAGTACTGCACGGACACCTTCCGGTGCAGGTCGGGGCTCATCTCGTGAGGTAGCTTCGCCAGGGTAAACAGCGTCTGAAACATCTTGTCCACGTTCTCGTTGCGCTTGGCCGAGATCTCGAAGTAGGCGCACTTGTCGTCGCCGGCCACCAGCTGCTCGATCTCCTCCTGCTGCACCTCCCGGTGGAACTCCCGGTCGCCCTTGTTCCCGCAGATCACCAGAGGCACGTCGATGTTCTCCTTGATCTTGTTCTTCAGGCACGACTTGGTCTCGTAGATCTGCTTCTTGAGCCGCTGCACCTCCTGGAACGACTCGCGGTTGTCCAAGCTGAAGACGAGAATGAACACGTCACCTGGAGAGAAAATTGGGAGAAAAAAGGAAAAAAAAATAAAGGATGAGTTGGTTAACTTTTTTTCTAATGCACTGAATTTGCTGAAAATGCGTTTTGCATTTGCATGAACTCGCAACGCCATGCACCGGGAAAAGCAGCCGTGCGTAAATACGCACGAACGCTGCAAAAACAAAACCAGCAAGTAAAGTACCTGTCAGTATGGAGAGTCTCCTCATCGCGGGGAAAGGGTGATTCCCTGACGTATCCAGTATGTCCAGTTGGTAAACGTCCCCTTTGATGTTGTACAGTTTCCTGTGAAAGTCCTCGATGGTCGGCGTGTACTGCTCCTCGAACCGGCCGTTCAGGAACCGGGATACGATGGCCGTTTTCCCAACTTTGGTGGAGCCCAAAATCACCATCCTGTAGCAGTTCTTGGCGGGGATGTCAAAGTCGCTCTCGGTTGGAGACATTTTCTTGATCATGGTTTATTCCAGATGGCTTGGATTGTGCGTAAAAAAAAATAAAGAAACCGGCGGTTTCCGTTTACGGTTCTGTCTCAACTGCGGTCAGGAGTGGGGTATTTATGCGAGCTGGGGACCCCGCCCACTGTGTGAACGTCACGACTCAGTGAGTAGACACACGCTGCTGTGTGTTAAGAAGGAGAGAAGAGGGGAGGGTGGAAGTGGACAGAACTCCCACTGGTGCATCAGTCTGTCAGTTCCAACGACGGCGGGACAGGAACGCAAAAAATAAATAAATAAACAGGACATAATAATGATGGATGGGTCAGAGGCCCGGCTGATGCAGTACTTCACTAGTTTACTACCAGATTCATGTTCCCTAATGATTAACAAATTATGTTGTAAAACTGATTAAAAGAAAGAAAGAAAGAAATAAACATCTGATGAAGAAATATAAATATAAATGATGCAGAATAATGAAAATGCCACGGTGTGTTCCAAACCAAACACACTGATTTATTCATCCATTGTGACTTTAGCAGCTGCTTGGTGTGACCAAATGGAGGTTAAGAAACACAAAAGGCCCAATAGAGGGCGCTCGAATCTGCACTTATCAATAATGTGTGGCGCTGCTTGCAAGCGCGTGCTTTACCTATTGCGTGCACGTGGCAAAAACAGAGAAAAAAAGTGGTTTCCATCAGCTTGTTTACCTTCTCTCTCGAGCAGATTATTTCATCTCAGCTGTTTATTCCCTCAGTTAATGACCTGAGCTGAACAGACGAGATGGTTCAGAAAGGCAGCTGCAGGAAAGCGGGTTAAACAACAACCAGCCCGCTGCTGACTGCTGTGTGCTTCATGCAGTCACTTATGACGAACGGCACCAGTAAGCTGGCAGCACACACTGGCACCTGCCGGTTAATGGAATGTGACCCGATATCTGCAGGAATAATGAGATTATCACAGGAATCTGCAAAAGCTTGGTTTTCCACTTGTGAAGTTAAACTCCCTGACTTTAGAAATAGTTTCAAACATGAAATCCTGAGGTTAAAAAGGTTTTTTATTTTTTTGCAATTTAATGGTTTGACAAATTCAACTACAATTTCTTGCAATAGTTATAGCCATTGCATTAAAAAAAGAAGTAAATTTCCACCAAAAAAAGAGAAAAAAAATCTGAAATTTTTAGATTATTCTGAGATTTTTCTAGAAAAACTTGGACATTTATGGGGCCGCCGATTTACGTGTTCGCATCCACCTGAATAATATGTAGTTGCGACCCTGCCTGTGTGTATGCTTTCCCTGAATTACGCCTAAAGGGAAACATGGAGGTGACTGTTGGGCAACACATTCCTGCCAGAAACCAGAGCAACATATTTAAAAAAAAATCAAGAGTGCACAGCTCTGATCTGTGGCAAATTTGGAAATTACTATTATTGTCACCCATATAAAATACTGTCCTGTCATTTTTTGCCAAAAATAATTTTTCTTGCCTGAAACATCTTTTGGAAAGAAGTGGTGATTTTTTTTTATTTTTATTTCAGTTTTTTTTTTTTTTAAAACAAAATCACTTTTGTTTTTTGTTTTTCAAGAAAATTGCCTCTATCTTGCAAGATTGTTGAAGACGTAGGCGTAACTGCAGGAAAAAAAGTAACTTCTATTAAGTATGGACTCAAGGGGGATGAATTCAAAAGCACACTGCACTTTTCAGATTATCATCTTTGAAAAAATGAACAAAATCAAGAATAATTTCCCTTCCGCTTATAACTTATGCACTGCGTCTGTCAGAAGAAAAATCCCAATAAAATACATTGACGTTTGTGGTTACAACACAATAAAATGCAAAGTAAAATGTTTAAGGGGTAAAACAGCCCTGGACATTCTTAAAGTGTGAAATAAGCTGGCACATTATTGAAGAGAAAAAAATGCAGCACAGAAAGAAATGGGACTCAAAGTCAATTTAAAGCCTTTATTTTCCTCGTCTGTTTTCTATTCCGTCTCAAACCACTCAGCTGGTCATATCCACATAACAGCAGGAGGCGGGAAACACGCAGTCATTTGCATCCTCTGCTGCCAATTATCCACTACTTTGAACAGAAACGAGGCTGACCACGTCTGAGAGCTCCCGATATTTATTTATTTAAAAAATAAAAAATAAAAGCATGCCTGGAAACCAGGCAGCAGTGAGTCAGCGCGCAGCCTGGCCCAGGGAGCGGTGCACACGTCCTGTTCTCTGAATCTATCTGCTCAGATAAGCACCCCGTGCCGTAAACACTCGGCCTGAACTGACTGACTAAAGCTCTGATGGTGCACGTGGCTTATCTGCTCTGGTGGTGGAGAGGATCTGGGTTTTGTTTTGACTGTCTGAGCCGTCATCAGAAACTGCTAATAAGGCTGTTTGGTGGCAAAGGTCGGCGACGGTGGCGTGTGACCTGTTGATTCGGACACTTGGGAAGGCGCCTGGCCGAGATGTCAACCCAAACCACTCTGACGTTCAACATGCTGCACTGTTTACACACCTTCAGAAATTGTTCTTTTATCATTACTATTATTATTTTTATAGATGAATTCTCCTGAGATTGTCAAAATTATCAGATTATTAGTATTATTATGCTTCATCTACTACTTTAGAACTCGGAAAGCTCTTTAAATAAATCCATTCTTGTTGGTCCCTGCTTCCAGTAGTCATATTTAATAAATTAGAATATGATGAGGCTCATTTGTCAATTTAAAAGTACCTTTTGGAAAAAAAACCCCAAAAACAACCTTTAAGCTGGTATGAAGTGTCAAACCAACATTTCTGTATTATAGAATGTTGTTTTTGTTTTTTTTAGTGGTCTGGTGTAATATTCTAATTTTAAATGTTATGTTTTCATTAGCTGCAAGAGGAAAATTATCATAAGTAACAGAAATAAAGCCTAGAAAACACCAGCTATCTATATAATGCATTTTGTTTGGTGATGCAGAGGAACTGCGAACATCCAGATGAAAACAGATGCTGAGCCACTGCCCGGGTCTGACCTTCAGAAAGGGCAGACCCGGGCAGTAGCCCAGGGCGGCACGTTTTGTGGCGGGAGCCCCAAAATTTTAGCATGTCTTCGTAATGAATACATGTTTTATAAACTTTGTGTCTTATATAAAACTCAAAGTCCTGTATGAAGTGTGGGTGTTTTAATACTGTTATATTTTTGTGAATATATTCAATAGTCAAACAGTTCTGAAGTCGCAGTTCGTCTTTTTGGGACCAACATGGAACCATCTCATATGGGTGTATAGACCTGATGTACTGTAACTTCCATGAGTGAAAGGATTTATTTATTTTTTTGAGTAACTCATTAATTAAAATAATTACCCTTCGGATAGATTTTTGATTGATGAGACTAAGAGGATATTAATAAATTAATCTGATAAACGTGACTAAGTTGTCAGCTGTTTGATTCATTGCTACTTCCTGCTCTGGTCGTCTGTTTCTCTGCCAGTTTTGGTGTGGAAACTAAACCACACTGACCCTCCGGTGTCCCATGACCCAGCTACCTGTGGGAGTCTGCTGTTTTTCTGAGTCATGACCCAGTTTCCACAGAAAATGTGTGTCTTAGGCCAACTTCACAGCGCGAGACGTAATGTGGTCTGCCGTCTCTGTGCAAGAGAGGACATCTATACTTTCGCTCACGAACCGCTCAGGGAGGCAGAAAGACGTCGGACAGAGCAGCAGAAAATGAAAATCTGCTCATTGGAGATGCGAGTCTAATGGATGCGCTGAAATGGGGTGATTGCCGACGCAGTTTCAGACATTATCAAGCCATTAGTTCCATCACAGCCACATCCAAGGGCTGGGAGAAAATGAAAGTGGGGCGAAGAGGGCCGTAACACGGCAGGAAACAGACAAAGCAACTGAGAAAAACAGGAAATACTGAGGAGAGAAGGAAGAAATGTAGCAGAAACAGGTCTGAGACACTTTAAAAGTAAGAAAGAAAAGTTATTTGAAAAGTTAGCAGCTGGGACGACTTTATCTGACAATTTCAGCCAAAGCTAAGCTGGAGCTTACACACTGGGTCAACTATGATTCTACAACACGATTAATTAATCATTTGAATGGAAATGAATATCTTAAAAACAAGTTGATCAGTTGGAAAAATAAAAATAAAACATTTCATTAACTTCGATGCATAAGCTTGGAATCCCTCAGACTCTTAGATCATCCTTTTCATTTGAATTGCTCACGATGAATGTCAAATTATACATAGAAAAGGTGTTTGAATATTTTTCGTCTCATTTTCTGTCTTACAAGCTCCTGACTCTTTACCAGGGGTATGAACGTGTTGAGAACAAATGCATAAAAAGCAGTTTATGATGTATACAACAATTTATATGAAATAAATAATCAAACTGATCCAGTGGGAACAGGAAGGGCTGTTCATCAGATTTACTGACATCTAACAAGTAGAGATGTTCTGATCCGATTCCAGGTGTCGCTATTTTATTGGTCTTCAAAAGAAAGCAGCTCAAATTTCTTGTGTGTCATGTGACCTGAATTCTTCAGACTCTTTGCTTATGACATATGACATATATATACACATACATATATCTCCAGTCTCCCAGGAGAGTTCTGTGTGGAGTCGAGCAGAAAGCAGCGGAAACACCAGTCGTTAATATTTACCCTGTTCAAAGTGAATATGTTCTCTGTGTGAATCAGGAGAATAAAAGTTTTACTTTAACTTTTGTCGACCCAAAGTTAACTTGAACTGTATCGAAAATATTTAATGAGCTAAATCATCAACCGCTAACAGGAAGCACAGTTAGGCAAGTTTCTGTAGAATCAGATGTGTGCATATATATATATATATATATATATATATATATGTTTTATAAAACACCAATAAACTTTGGTTGTAACAAAATATCTGACAAGAGAGACGGCCTCATCAAAACGTTATAGGTTGGTCAATTAAACCGACCTATAATGACATTACTAATGTAGACTAATACTAATAGCACACATTGTTGAGAACTGACTTTTAAGTCAATTTATTTATTTATTTATTTTACCAAAGTCGGAAAGTTTTTGACAATTTCTGTCCCACCTCCAAATGGAAACACAATTTTAGGGAACCCCAAATGATTTTTCTGTTAAATTAGTACGAAGGTGAAAATTTCACCCTTTGCACGTATTCCTGTGGACAGCAAAAACGCCTCTTTTGTGAAACCGCTGCTGCATTAGGCCAACCTCTAACCCGACCCATAAACCCAAACGCCTCATATGCACCACGCATAACAACAGAGGCGGATTACACGCTCCTCTTGGCTTTAGAATCCAACGTGACGCTGAGAAGAAGCTCGACCTCATCATCGGTCCAGTCACGGTTTGTTGTTCACAGTTCTTCTCTTCTTGTTGTGCTTACAGCTACGCTGGAGGTTTAACACGTTCGATCGCATCAATGTCTACAGCGCTGTTGTTTTTAATCAACCTGATATTGGACTTCTTTTCCTGCTGACTGAAAGTTGGACTCATCTGACCTCAGGACACGTGTCCACTGTCTGTCCGTGTGAGGTATGCGAGCTCAGAAACCTCGGTGACCTTTCTTCATAAAGGTGCCTTTTGTTCCTGGGTTCTATGCTTGGACTGTAAATTTTGATGTTTGTTTGCCTCATTATGTGTGAGGTATTAGCCATCAGTTCTCAGAGGCATTTGGTAAGTAACAACAGTTCCTTGTAAAAAAGTATTCATTTGAGTGGAATTTCATATTTTGTCACACTACAATCCCAAACACACATATTTCTTTGGAATTTGATTTGATAGAGCAGCACAATGTTGAGTCCTTGCCTTTTTCCCCCCCAAAATATCTCAAGTAGGCCTTCACAATTATGTAAAAACATTGTATTGTGACTAAGCAAGTGCTGTGAATCAATTAAAATTTTTTATTATAATCACACTCTTGCGCTGTTATTAATCACAATTTCTAACTTGGCAAGCCTGAATTTTAAATATGGATGCAGTAGTGGTTCTTGCAAGAATGGCGTCCCAGGCAAGCTCCTTTTTCTGCCGCACTCCAACAAATTAAAATCCAAGCTATTTTCTGATTATTTTTGGAGCAGAAAGCAGGGATTTTGTACTTCTTAGGTTGTGACGCCCCTTTCTGATGCCACCCTGGTCAACTGCCAATATTGCCCATATCAGAAATTGCCACTTTATGCATGTTTAAAACCCCTGCCCCCAAAAAAAATTTTTTTTTTTTTTTTTTTTTTTTGTCTTTAGCAAACATGTCTGAAGAGTGTCAGTTTTCCAGGTTTTTATAGTCAGGAAGGTTTAAAGTTAGTCGTTTTGTTTTAAATGTTCATTTAGAAATGTTCCTCTCCATTCATTTCCTATGGAACCTGAGGCGATGATCGCTTGTCCGCGTACAGCTGAGCGACCGGCAGAATTCGGGCATGTCAAATTCCACAGATGTGAACACACGGGCTCACAATGCAACATAAGAAAGTTGAAAAATGTTTCACTTTTCGTTGCCGTCGTGGAAAACGTTCGCCTTTCGCGATCATTCGTCGTTCCCCGTGTGTTGAGTTCATGACGCCCTGCTGTTACCTTGACAACCTTCCGCCAGAAAGAGGCTTTTAGGTCACAATAGTATCTGCGTCATGATATTATTGTGTTAAAATTTTCAGATTAAGTATGTGCGTTACTGTTCATAGACTAAATGTACCAAAAATAAATAAATAAATAAAATAAAGCAGGTGAGATTATGAAGAAGGCTGTGTGGGGACCTGCTTACTGTATTCAAGATATTTTCAGAAAAACAAACCGTCACCTGTGGGAGTTAGTAGTGATAAAATAGAAAGGAAATTGAACATTGAAATAAACAGGAAAAACATGAAGAGATTTTCTTAAAATATTTGTAACCTTTGTTCACATTGTTCTTGTATATTTTTGTGTGATCTAAAGTAGGCTCCTACTTCCTGATTTCTCACCCAGATTTTTTTCCCCCTCTATGGTAGAAAACGGAATTCTTAAAAATTTCCACCTTGGAAAAACATTAAAAATTTTCCTGTTTTCCCACCAAAATCTCAGTCTGAATGAGAAGGCGATGTGTAGACAGTATGGTTCGTCTCCTGGTAAAAAATGTAAGCTGTGTTTAAAATCAATGTAGAATCTAACAGGAAGGAGACAAACAGAGGGTCTTCTTTAGGGTATTTTCCAGACCGTGTGACTCTACTGATTAAAGCAGAATGACGACGTCTTAATGCAGGGTTGGATAAAGAGCGAGGGGGGTCAAAGGTCACACATGTTACAGATGTTTACAACCTTTACAAAGTTACAGGAGCCATGATTTCCTAGAACATTCTCTTAGATTTAAAAAAAAAAGAACAAAAAAAAAATCTTTGGTTTTTTGGACTTTGAGATTGATGTGTGTTTCAAAATAAATTCAGCAACAAGTAAATCCCTGGAAAAACAAATAATTTGGAGAATTCAGCTTTTTTTAAAAATCTTATCACTTCACTCAACTGCCACAGATCAATCAGAAGCTTTTATTTTTCAGAATACTCTTGAGATAGTGGACTAAATTTTCCACAAAAACATAAAGTTGGTCGGTGAAATCATTCAAAATATTCTTTTTTTATTTCTTGATTCATTGAAATGAAGACCCAACAAGACTGTATCTGGTTTACCTTGTTCAAACAAACAGGCCTATTTAAATAAAAATCAATAAGCATCAAAAATAAATCTTTCCTTTTCGCTTGACTGAAGTAAACTATCAAGTCATGGATTTAATACATAAAAAAGTTGGTTTCCATTCTGTTTTAACAAGTTTAAAGCATCAGATACTCTACTGGTAATAAACTTATATCTCCTTGACGGCAATGAAATCTTCAATCATCTTGATCTTCATTCACAAAAGTTCTCGACAACAAAAGTTAGAGAACTTTCTGAGTAGACTTAGTGCTTCATGCACACGTGTTCTTCTGTCTCACACGCTTGTTTTTTCCTGTTCTTCTTTCTGTTTATTTTCCATCAGATAACTGACAAGAGGGCTCATCCGAGGAGAAATTCCACTTGAGTGCAAATCAGTGCTTGAAAGGGTGACAGACATCGTCCACTGTTGGAACCAAGGGTTCTCTTTGCGTTCTTTACGTGAAAGCGTATCAATCTGCCAAACCAGTTCTATGCATCATCAACCAAATGAAGGGTGCCAGTCCCATCTGTCAGCCAGTGCTTGAATTAGGACACCTTTTTTACTTCTAGGAGAAGAAAATATCATTTTCTCCAGGGACAGTACCAAACCCCAGAAGATGCTGTAGGTCCGTATCCAGTTTCTTTAAGAGGAAGTATCATGTATAGTTGGAACCAGATATTTACACATACTGTACAAAAAGACACAAACACATTTCTTTTTCCTCACTTGCTGAAGTTAAATCAGACTTTTCTTCTTTTAGCACAATTAGAATGACCAAAATCATTTCTATTTGCTCAATGCCAGAAAACTTGGACTATCAGAACCTACCAGAAGTTTGTGGTGAGAAACCCAAAAGGTACAACACAGGTCATACAGTTTAAAAGACTGTTATCCCGGATACAAACCAAATGCATGCAAACGTTCGAGTTCGATGAAAGTTACAAAAAAAATGTCATTTCCATGTTTTGGTAATTCTAACTAAGCTAAAGCAAGAAATGTTTAGTCTGATGGAAATAAGTGTCTGTTGAGCTCATTATGCAGATAATTTGAAGTCCAACACAACGACATAACAGATGACTTACTGAAGGCAGAGTTTCAGAAAGAGTAGGGGCTTCTTAAAGAGACAGAGGCCCAATTTCAAAGCATCAAAGTGCCACACACATTTCTGGCTTTGCAATCTCAGATAATATCTTAATTCTAATGTCATAAATTTATCCCTTTACATTATAAAAATATAACATTTTCTTCTTTGAAATTCATGATTTTTCTTGTAAATATGTAAAAATAACCTAGAAATATTTGGAGGAAATGTATTTTTTCTTCTCTTATCTACAACGGCCCTAATACACCACTGTAGGTGAAAGCACCTGAACTTTGCTGGTCCTTGTTAGAGGTGACCTTTTCAAGTTGCTGTTGGAAGTCACTGGAAACGGCCTGAGCGGAAACTGTTGTATAACGTCAAATATGCCTCTCTTTGATCATCATTTCCCTAAAAATCAGTCTTTTCCTAGAAGCCATTCACTATTAGCCTGCTGTTCAAAAAGAATGTCCAACTACTGAGCGATAATGGATTTCACAGTGTCAGCGCTGTGAGGGCGCAGGAGAGGAATATGGAGGGAGGAAATCAAAGAATCACAGAGAGATGTGGCAGTTTTATCGTCTGGAAGTTTCCTTTTGTGAGGAACAAGGTGATGTCACCGCGCTGGCATTGTGTCTCTTCTATTGTCGGATGATGTCTGCATTCATAGTGATTTGCTTCAACAAAGCAGCTACAGTGCCTTGGTAAGTATTCATGCCCATGTAGCAGTTTACTTGTCAACCTCCTGCCTCCCGCATCGTATCGACCTTAAAAACTGCTGCTTCAGAACCCGGAGAACTTGCATAACCTAAGCACGCCTGAGTTAGAAAGAAAGGAAAAAGAAATCCGTGGTATGTAACTTTTACAAAAATATGTTTTTTTTTCATATTTGTTTAAACTGTCACCATATCGTGACCGTAAAATGTATACAGATAATCTGTGAAAAGATTGAGCTCCTCCACTTCCTCCCTGTGCTGCTATTGCTGTCTGAAGAAATACACCGCTCCCAGTCAATCAGAGCCAAGAGGAGGGGCTTAGCGCTGTCAATCAACATTATAAACTCGCTGCTAAATGTGCTAATGGTGGAGAAATGGCTTACTGTTACTGATAAGCTGTTTATCCACTGTCAAAAGTGGCTATGCTAACTAGCATTAGCATTCATGGCTATTTATGTTGTGGTGAAGCATCTGTAGTGTAGTTGGCAGTGCTAAGACCCTCCTCCTGGCTCTGATTGGTTGTTTCTGATTGAGTTGGTGTATGTCTACAATTAGTAGACATACACCATATGTTGAGAGAAGGCAGAGATCAATATTTTCACAGATTATCTGTCCTATGATATACTGTTACAACATACCGATAATTTTAATAAACACAGTTCTGGAAAAAAATTAAGAAACCACTTATAATTATCAGTTTGAGTTTGAGTAAAATGAACATTGTTCTTTTATTCTATGATTTACTGACAGCATGTCTCTGAAGTTCCAAGCAAATATTTTGTGTTTATTTGCAGAAAATGAGAAATGGTCAAAATAATGACAAAGCTGCAGCGCTTTCAGACCTCAAATAATGCAAAGAAAACAAGTTGATATTCATTTGGAAACATCAATCCTAATGTTTAAACTCAGGTTATCAGAAATCAATATTTGGTGGAATAACCAGGAGGTTTTCAATGGGACTCAGTGCAGTGGTCTCTTCATTTTTTCCAGAGTTGTGAGTAAAAGTTGTAAGAGTTACATTGTGCAGCTTTAAGCTTCCTGATTCATTTTAAGAAATAAGTTCCATCTGCACACATTTCCCTGCATTTCCGCTCGAGCGGTCCATTAACGACTACAGCCGGTGTGCGTCCGTCCACGTGCCCGGATGGGAATCCTCAGCCGCCCCACCAGCAGGTGAGGGATGCGATCACTCGTGTTTGCGGCGCTGATTTCTCTGCAGATAGATCTGCTCCGTGAATGGTCTGCAAATATAGGAGAACAAACATGTAGTAGGACAATAAATGTGGGAAGGGAACGCTGTACCACACGGTGCCAGGAGCTTGTATGTGTGTAGCGAACCGTGGCGAAGCTCAAGGGCGCGGGAGTGTATGACAGGAAGATGTCTCCAGGTTTCCCTTGCTGACAGGGACAATATGTGTGCAAGTTATCATTTCCGTGGCACGTCACTGACACACCTGCACTGGACTTCTGAAGAACTTGGCACATTTGGAGAATGTGTGGGAGACTCATGGTTTCGTTTGATCTACGGACATATTATCTTACTATAAATCTTAGTCACTTTTGCTTACATTTTATTATTTTGAAGGGATATTGGACACAACAAAATATGAGGAAACTATATTAGCAAGTAAGAGTACCCAGGTACCTCTTAGTTTAGTAAAAGGGAACTCAGATAATCTGTTCCCAAACAGTGTTAGCTTCTGGTCCCCCTAAAAATCTAAAGAAAGGCTTTAGAGACAAAACCGCTTCTTTAGGGTTAGAAGTGAAACTGTTTTAATAAAGAAAAAAAAATATTACTGGAACATCCTTGCAGCAGCAATGTTTTACGATCTTTGGTAAACTCTTAAAGAAACTAGAAAATTTCATAGAAAAGATCAGAAAATCCAATTTCTAAATGAGAAAGCAAAAAACTCCTCAAAGCACATAGTTTGTAGAGTTTTTGATTACTTCAAGAAAAATGAAAACATGGCTTTAGAAATTAAATGGTAACTTCCTGTTAAAGAATACATGACACTGAGGTTACAAAAAGAGAACATATTCTTCCAGCTGACATTCAGGACTAAATGAGAAAACTGGAAACGTTTCTATGGCCGTGTTGTCAAGGCTAAACTGAACTAAACCTACTTTTGCTACCTATAGACATCTACAGTGAGATTTTATTTTCATAATAATAAATAAAACATTGAGCTGGATTTGTTCTTTAAGTTTTTGAAATTCTGAGGTTTAAGACGTCAAGTGATGAATGTGAAAAACTGAATCAAATAATCAGAATTTTCCTTGCCTTTGCTTTTTACACCTAATTAGGAACAAATGTTAGAACAGAAACCAAAAGATGAATAAGTAGGAATAAAAAGTCAATTTTAATAACCACAAAGTGTTTTTTAACCAACATTTCATCTGTCTGCACCTCATTTATACTAAATTTATGATGGTTGTGAACTGACTCGGCTGCCTAGCATTCACCTCATCACCACCTGTTCTCTGCTGGGTTCCTGCCTGTGATTCTTACCCACTAGAATCACTGTGTGAGGTAATTTTCCCTTAGCCACACACACACACACACACACACACACACACACACACACACACACACACACACACACACACACACACACACACACCCCTTAACTAATAGTACTACTGAGAATCAGTGAGACACACGTTAGACAAATATAGTACACGGCTCCCGTAATCAGCGCAGCGTGTGGTTAAATCTTTAGCTCCCCAGTGGACGATAAATGACACCACGGCTGACCGGCGTCGCAGTCGTGACCCGCTCCTATTGCCCAGTATTAAATCTTCTTATACATGGATTGCTTTAATCGCCACGAAAGCTGGTGTAGCATTCAATTTAAGATTCAGTGTTGGTTTTCCTACACTTGTCTGTCAGCCTGAACGCCTCATCTTGGGAAAGCTGATTGAACACCTTCCTGCCATTGCTGCCTGACCGTCAGAGGACGCGAGTTAAACAAACAAGACGACCCTGATGAGGAAGGAAACAGGCAAAAGGAGTTCATCTGACAGAAGAAGCTGAGTCAAAACAGGGTCATCAATGACCTTACTCACATCAACAAAGCGATAGCAGAATGGCTCAAAAAGAGAGATTGAGGATCGTCTGCAAACTTCAATAAACCGAAATCATTCCGCCAAAGTAATGTGGGAAGATGTACAGGTCAGATTTAGTCAGAGTAACTAGGTTTACACATCAAACCTGATTTGGATCTAGATCCATTTCAAATCTGTCCACACTGAGTTTTTCAAGTTGCTTTCTTTATATCACGACTGTCTGCATTATATCTCAGTTTGTGACTTACAACAAACACCTGGATGTGATGTGTTTGTATGTTACCTGCTGAGTGGCAGAAGCTCATTGTATTTCTCCTTATGTAAAGGTTCCTATTTTAACTTTTTTTTTTTATATCTGTGAGCTCAGATGTTCAGAAGTAGGTCAGAGCAGATTTAGGTCGCATTGCACAACCAGTAACATAAAATATACTAACTAGAAAACTTTTAACGTTTGCAAAAAGAGCCTCTACAGAAAGATGAGAAGAAAGCATAGAGGCAGATTTCTAAAGCGAGCTGCTCTGCTTCACATATCTTTGTCTCTGCTGACAGATTGCGAATGAATTGAGTGAAATTTGGATTGAAACGCAGTTCATTAACAGCTGCTGCTTTTTAACAACTAAGAGCTCCTTTAATTAAACTCCTGATTTTATTTTGATACAACATCAGTTAATAAAAATGGCTACTTATGCAATCAGAAAACATTGTCGCTGGGGAGAACTGGAATTAAGGTCAAAACTCAACGTAATTTTACAGTTTTAGTAAGATTTTATGTTACCGATTTTGCCCGCAAGTCAAATTCTACACTGTTTAAACGGAAATTGGCTTTTGTTATCCAACAATGTAGCATGGACCCTGCAGGAGTTTAGTCAAGAGGATTAATGGCGTTTTAAAATTCCATTCTGAAAATAGAAAGCCCGTTTTTACTCTGCTGAATGCTGATCTGTGAAGAGTTATTTAGTTGCAGAACTACTTTGGAAACTATTTTGGCTAAAGGACTTCAGCATGTTTTTAGATTTGTGAATAAAATTACTCTGCAACGGACAAGAAAAATTAGGATGAAAGATAAAAAAAAGTCATATATTTGGTTTTAGACCCAGTTTGTGATAAAGGCAAAAGAACACTTGACACTGAGGTTAGAAAAACAGAAGATATTCTTCCAGCTGACATTCAGTGTTGGTTGATAAGGTCACTCTGAACTAAACACAAACACTGACCTACTTTTGTCACCCACATACATACAGAAATGTTTGTTCTTTAACTTCCTCAGGCATAAAAACATATTTTTTTAATCCAATATTTGACCTATCCTCACCTCTTTTCTCCTAGATTTATGACAGTTGTGAGTTGACCGGGCTGGACGGCATTCACTTCATCACCACCTGTTCTCTGCTGGGTTTCTGCCTCTCTCACACTGGTGATTCTTACCAACTCGAATGAGGCAATTTTCCCTTAGCCACAGACACACACACACACGCACATCTTAACTAATAGTACTATTGAGAATCAGTGAGACACACAGATAACAGATACAGCACACGGCTCCTGTAATCATCGCAGCGTGTGGTTAAATCTGGCACCTGCACATCTCCAGCTTGAATGTAGCTGCAAATAATACTGAAAATCACACTCCTTCTTAAATCGTGGGTTTGAGATATAAAGAATTTATATTAGCCACGGGGTAAAAGCGGAGTGTTCAAAAAGGGAGCAAAACTTTGCACAAATTTCCTCTTGTGAGTTAATTTGAGTCCCTTAAATCTCTGTAAACTGCAAACTTCATTGTGTTTTACTGAGGTTATTTATTTATTCATTTTAATGTCCTAGGGGTGTAGATGCTTTTGCGAGACTGAAAACATGCAGTCTGTGTTCGAATCGACGGATACAGCCTCTTCTCAAAAACCCTCAGTAACCTAAAGCAACACTTTCAGTACAGCAGCCAACAGAAAATTCAGAAGCCTGCCAACCCACGTCAGTCCTTGAGATGTCTCCGTCTTACTGACAGAAGCAAAATAAAAAATAAATAAAAACCAACAGCAAGCCTTACATACACCCACACCCATACACAGCCACTCAAACCACTTCTAGAGATACTGTCTGGCTGTTTGTTTCAGTTTTGTTGAGACAAACTTTAAAATGATTTCAAAATACTTATGAATCATATGTTAGAACAAGAGAACATTGTTTTTTTTTTTCACCTGTATTTTTATGGTGAATGTCTTTATTGAAGTATCATTTTTTCGAGCTCACTTTACCGGCGTGGGTTGAGTGATGTGTTGGGAGAGGTTAGTTTGCCATGTGCTTACTTTAAACTTTCAATTCATTCTCCAAAACCAAAATAAACACATGTGAGCACCCAATAAAGCCTGGTATGATAATCAGCTGGGGTTTTTTTCCTCCACATCTCCTGAAACAGCTAAACACGTAGATGCCGATGTTATGCCAGAAAATGCACCAACGATGTTGCTTTTTCAAAATAAAGTACATCTTAACATTTCATGACATTTAAATTAATTTCAAACTCTGATTGTGAAGAGTATAGGAACACAAATATAGGCTATTCTGCCCGTATGGATCAGGCACATTGTCATGAAACCCCATCTGGAATTTTTTTTCCCCATTATTAATAACTCTAATACATTTGTGAGAAATAACAACCAGGCTTTTGAGACTTACCCTTCGAACGTTATGGCCACTTTGTAAGCCAGGACCACTATGGCAGTAAGAACCAACCCAACAGGACTGGCACCACTGGAGACAGAACCAGAGAGAAAAACAGAAGATAGATAAGAGGGTATGACGACATCCCTGAGACAAAAGGAGATCCCTATTTAACTTCACTGGAACACATCAGGCAAGAAAAGACCAAGAACTACCTGTCCTACATATTACAGATGAGAAATGTGACACATTTGTGTCCACATACACATGTGACATACACATGTGACATACATGTGTATGTGGAAGTGATCAGAATACAGCTGGGTAAAAAAAAAAAGATTCATTCAGTGACAACGAAAAAAATCTATAACTCATAATAGACAAATGTGACTGTAGTGCCAAGACCATAAGTTATGAAACAGCGTTATTTGAGCCAAAGTAAATAGCTTTTTGTGCAGAGTGGTGATGTAATTTGAAAAGCATAGTTTTTGAATAAATGAAAAAAAAAAAAGAAAAAGAAAAGTATGCTTCCTATTTTGTAAAATTATTTTCACCCAAAATTTCTGGAACTACTACCTTGGTTCTTTAAAAGCTTCTCTGGGTTCTTTAGTGACTTTTTGGATGAGCTGTTTAATCAGTCTTGAGTTGATTTCTGAGTCATCTGGCCACGTCTAGGGAGGTTCACTAATGTTCCATGTCAAACGGGTCTGACGTCGTCAACATCTGACCAAGTTACGTTTTGCGTAGCCTGGTTGATTTGCTCCAAACCAGTAGATGGAAACATGCCTAATTTGAATTTTCTTTTTTCCCCCCCTTCTGTTGTGACATTTTTAAAATTTAACTCACAATTTGCATGACAGTTGAATTCTTCTTCCAAGAAAGTAACTTAAGACTGGAGCTTTTTAAGATGGCTGAAATCGGCTTACTCTTCATGGATTAGTGCTAGCGTTAACCTTAACACAAAATGTGAAGGCTCTTGTTGGCTGTCTTAGCTGGTCACCAGTGTAGCAGATGCCTTTAGTAGGTGACAGGTCAGCCAACTCACTGCAGGCACGAGGTCAGCATGGTAACTTGTTTCACAGATAAATTGTACAAGCAGAACAACTTCGAAAGTTGCTTTAGTGTGGGTAAAGGTCATAATAACAAAGCAATCTTTGCAGAAACCCCTGAATACAATTACTCCTTGTCTAACACAAACATTAAGATGTCCACAGCCAATGTGTGTGACAGAAGATCAGGCTGAATGCTGAGGGAGATGAGTGGCTCTGCAGCGTTGCTATCTACGTTACCTGAATCTGCAACTGTCATCAGTCAGCTGCGGCACACATTACTGTCATGTGTCCACTTCTCAGATTATACAGATTAACATAAACAAAGGCCATTAAGGCTCGTGGTCTATGGATTTTGCGGAGGACAAGGAACACCAATCAACCTGCCTGTCAATACCCCCAAAGTTCACCTTTACGTTGAGAAGTAGATGATAAACTCTACATCCAGTTGCTGTTATTCTCTTTAGTTTGAAGTGGCATTGGCGGTAAAGTACCTGCCGATTAAGACTCATGTAATAGAACCCAAAAGGGGTCTACCCAACATGGGATGCACAGATGCAGCCGTGTAACGTTCTGTAGCTCTGTCACTTTCCCCTCAACCAGCAGTATACAATGTCTAAACAGAGGTAAACAGGAACTAAAGGAATTTGAAGATGCAATGGAGAAGAACCTTAGTACCTTAGAACCCTTAGTAAAATTTGGGAAAACCATTAGATTTCTCCGAATAAAAACAAATAATCTAGCACAGACTGCAGGGCTTTGGTGAGGTATACTAAAGAGCTAGGCATAGCATATTTACTTGAAATTACACTTTGACTGGGCTGCCATCTTCATTCATTTAACAATCACTGGAAAAACACAAGATCTTACTAAGTATTTTTGGCCTAATTTCTAGTGCAAATATCATACATACAGGTGATCGGTCAATGAATTAGGACTTTGACTATCTGCCTTGTCTCTGTGCTGTGAAACACAAAGATTATTTTTTTACCCCATGAAACAAACGTACACTCCAGAAAACTCTAGACTATCAATGCACACATTGATACATTTGCATTTAAAGTGTTTTAACATGACTTTGATTTCTATGTCAGCGATGGAACAGCTGTGATGACATTCCTCTCATGGCTTCAATCGGCTTCAGATGTTATGCACAACATTCGCCTCCCACTTATTCAGACGGACCAATCTGACGCCATGACTCAGCGGACCTCGTTTCACGGTTTCTTTGTGCTACTGACCCCCTTCCAAAACCTCATTACTACAAATATTATGACCAAACCTGGTCACCGCCGGTTGACTTGATTGTGCCACGTTATGTCCATTTGAGAGAAACACTCCCTCAATTTACGCTTCCGCTTGAAAAGCGGCGAGGAGCTGACAGTGGGGAAGTACTATTTAAAAGTTGCCCCTTTCATCTTCTTTCACGCTGTTTGACTCAGAGTGATTCTCAGTACAAGCTCATTATCACCTGATCCAGAAACAGCAGATGCGCTCCCATTTTGGGGACAGGCAAATTAACAAAATGTGACATCAGAATTTTATTATTCTCCCATTGATTTGTATGTTATTATTGGTATAAGTAATCTCATATAACTCTTTTATGGAAAAGAATGTCTTAGAACATAAATTAACATACAGTCATCATCACCCTAAAATAATGGTCAGTTATTTTTAGCTAATAGTGATTTTTTTTTCTTGCCCAAAATATTTTTTAGAAAGACAGAGGTGGTGATTTCCCCCCCAAAAATCCACTTTTAGCAAAAAAAATTAAAAATCACTAGTACTATTATTTTAAGAATGTGACGATACATAGTGTCTGAATACGTCAACCAGTCGATGATCATAACATTTCTGTTTTTATTTCAGAATTTTTGCCTGTGCAGCCGACTACACCTGGACAAGCATAAGCTGGATAAGAACCAAGCAAAACTATAACGGTACAAAATGGCAAATGGAGCAAAAATAATCTTTACTCTTTGCTTGTTACTGTAGTTATCGGGAAGCAAATGGAAAATTTCCAAATTTAATGACCTCGAGATTTACCAGCAACAAGAAAAACAACTACAGTATACCCGGAGGGACATTTCAACACCAAAAAGGGCAAATGCCATTGATGTCAAAATGACATTGATTTACTACCTCCTATCAATACCATCAATACAACGAAGCACTGCTTTGTCACCAGCCAATCAGATTCCCAATCAAGCCAGTGCTTATGTGGCTGCGCTCCAACATGGCAGCCCAGAGTTTGAGGGCATGATGTGGCCCAGAGCGCAGAGTGATCTTCTCAGACTGGGAGCGTCTTTGTTCCGTGTCTCTCAGAGACCCCATGCCCCACCACATGATGAATGTCTCTGATATAACTGACCACAGTTGTAATGCACTCGGCGAAGACGGTTTTAACAAAACGAACCTTTCAAAAGCGAGCAAAGTAGAGTGAAGGGTAGGGGAAGGTGCACAACAACTAAAAACCGAGATGATTGTAGAATTTCCACACCATCACTCAACATCTGAATACTATAAGCTATAAAGCTAGATTCCCTTTTATGTTTTCATGCTTCATTTGCCTCTATATACCAGAGCTCTTATTTATGTGACCTCCAGAATCCATTATTCTTTCGTCCATCATCTGTACCTGCTTGTTCATGCAGGTGTAGACGACAGTCATTGGGTAATGTTCACTAGTCTACCACAGGGCAACCCAGATATTGATGTAAATCTTTTGGAAAACTGAGCAATCCTGGACTTAATTGTATGAACTATAAGCCAATTTAGAATGTACTTCATTGTTTTATAGTTTCTGAGAGTCTGCTGTGAATTAGGCTTTTAAAAACAGATCTATTTTAATTAGATGCATTTTATCAGCTGTGATAAAATGTCTGTTGCAAAGTGTCACCACAAAACAGACCAATTACAAAACGCTTCTGTTTGCAATGAAGTATTTTAACTTACATTTTACTACATTTTGAAAATAAAATTAGATTGTTGCAAATATAGTTCTGCAAATTATTGCTTACTGGATATGTTGGTACTAAAAGCTGTTGGTTAAAAAATAAAGCTCTACTTCACCAATTTGTTGACATGATCTAAAAAAAAAAACTAAAAAAAAACCAAATCCAATATTTAGTCACTAGATGGAAAAACATGAAGCAGCTATATTTAGATTCCATTTTATATACACCGCTCTGTTCAGCTTGTCTTAATGCAACATGCCCAGTACATTTTCTAACAGATGTGAGCTCATTTGGTGGCCAGTTCACACAAACAGGACAGAAAAAGCTGATGGGGTTCGAGGGCTAACGGAGAGGCTGTTATCCTTCACAGCCTCAGACCGTTCACTCACAGTAAACAAAAGCACTCCTAAGGTTATTCTTATTAGTCACAACATGATTTAGAAAATGAATTCAATGAGAAATTTAAGTAGTGATAAAAGACGTGTATGCAGAACATGAAAACTTTATTCAGAAAGACAAACCCAGGACCTTCTTGTTGCAAGGCAACGTGTTGCCAAGCACAAAACTGTGCAGCCACAGTTTCTTTAAAGAATTAAAAAGATGTTTGAAATCACTAAATGAGGTTATTTGCAAAACTTAAAAACTGGCCAATGTTGTATTACAGAAAGGACATCTTTCCAACTAAAGTGACTTCATTTTCTCACCCTCTGAATAGCCATTTATCCCATCGTTGTCAGTTATTGTGGACTTTGTTTAGCATTACAAGAACTAAGATTCATTGTAGCAACAGCCAACTCAATGTGATGATGCTTAAAAATCCATAAACACACAAAAAAGCATTATTGTAATTGCCATTCCACCAGGTTGGTGTAGCTTCATCGTGTAGCCCTGTTGTTAGCTTGTGCGTTAGATTCATGGCCATACCAGAAACGTGAATACAAGACTTTAGTATGTTAATAAAGAAGAAAAAAAGTGATTAATCGCTTTTATATTTGTTGCCCCTTAAAATCAATGTAATTAATTAATGGAAACTAACACGTTAAAGTTCTGGCACTAGTATGCATGTACTGCAGGTGTTCTTCCTCTGTTCTGTTTAGTTGATCATGTATCTACTTCCTGTTGGTGATGCCTTCCATAAATTCAAAATCAAATTTAATTTTGACACAAATGATATCCAACTTTACATTTTCTAGCCCTCTTACCTACAAAGCCTCCAAAACGTTTTCACTCCCATGGCAGATTCCCCCTTTCACTGTTTTTTTATAAATTAAATCTTGGGCCATGTTGCTTAGCATTTTTGGGAAATATTTGTAAAATAAAAACTAGCTATTCTTACCTGAAATTCCTGTGTTAAATCAAATTAAATTATTGTTATTCAATTCATTGTTCTATGTCGACTCAAATTAAAGTTTTGGTTTGACTATGCACACAATGAAAAAGAACAATTTTGAGGGTTTTAATGCATTTTACAACTATGCTACTAAGTGTGAAGGGAACTGCATTTAAAACTGACCAAGCAAGACAAAGAAGAGAGACATTTGAAAATAGCAAAATTAAGTAGAGGTGTAAGAAAGCGTCCCTAATCCAGACGAGTCTTAACAGCAATGAGGGGAAAAAAAGTGATGAAGAAGAGAGAGGGGAAAAAAAGGAGACTGAGCTTTTATTAGTCTGGTCATCAACTCCATAAAAGCTTGCCTAGCAACCACACACGCTAATCTCCCAGCCATTTTGTCACAGTTGCCATGGAGACTGGGGGCACACGTAAAACTTATTTTACCTTGCTGCGTTTTTCAGCCGTGACTTGCAACTCGGAGAACAACAACATGTTCCATTTTTAGGTCGGGGGTTCATTAATTATGCGTGCACTCTCCTCATTTAGAGCGCCATTTGACGTACGCCGCTGCCGCTCCGCTCCGCTCAGCCAAACGCATCAATTCTGCTGGAGTTTCATCGTCTCGGGGCGACAAACTTTCAAGATGGTGATTAACAGCGAATTGTTTGCAACAAGTCCGTCAGTAGAAAACGGGCAACATTTACTCACATGAGCGCGAGGCCGAGATAGTTGGCTGTGCTGCCCCAGTACATCGGGTTCTCTACGACGCTGAAGGGGAAACCGGTCACCTTCTCATCCATCAGTATGCCAAAGTAGTCGCCTATACAACAAACACAGAAACATTGGGTTAAAGAGTTCCTTTAAAACAAACTAAATCACAGAAACAGCTAAATGACAACAAAGTTCGACTGGATTTTTATTTACTTTTTGATTTTTTTTGACTAAACATTGAATTCCGTCAAATGTAATTTTAATGACCATGATAACGTAAAAACAGTTTTGCATTTATTACGCTAGCAGCACTCTGGAAACATAATTTTCTCCTATGTGTTTGTTTTTGTGTTTGTG